GCCAGGACAAGAACTCTCCCCGGACGCCGCCATCGTACCAAAACAAAGTCTGAATCAGAAATATTGCCAGACAAAGACGGGCCAGAAATGCCATGCGATCCGTGGGACCGGCACAAGAAGCAGATTGCAGAAGGTGTGGTAGGCAACCCTGTGTGAATCCTGCCCCCGTAAGTCAGATTCCAGAAAACGAATAGGGGCTGCTAGCTTGAAAGATGCCTGATGTCGGGTGAACACCAGCGGAGTTGACCGACACCGCCTGCAACGATTGGACTTACGGGGGCAGGGTTCGCACTCGGTCGCAGATGAGCAGCCGGATCCATTGGCCCCACGGCAAGCGCCTGGTTGGCCCGAACCCACGATGCCAAGAGATGCAACCCCCTAGGCCATGAGAAGATCAAGTGCCACAGGGAAGCGAGCTGTTGCACGTTGCGGCCCTGTGGGCCCTGGGCAGAGAAGCTTTACACGTTATGCCTCTCTGAGCCCCGAGGAAGACAGCTACAGCATGCTACGGCTCCCTGAGGCGCGCTCACGGAGCTGAAGCATCGGCCAGCGCTTGGACGTGGGCGACACGAGGAAGCGTGCCACATGAAGGGTCCCGGATAAGTTGCGCCGTTCGGTACTCCAGAGCATTCCTGAACTCGCCTTGGACACGGCGCCATCGAGAACGGTGGCTCGCATCAATCAGTAACGTGGGAGCGTGGTACGGGCATGCCCTCTGGGGAACGGAAGCACGGGGATCGTCCGCGCGAAATGCTAAGGGCAGTGCTAGGAAACCTGAACGGTTCTAATCCCAAACAGTTGCATACGTCTAGGCAGCCTTAGGTTAGATGCTAGACCACTACAACCCATGCCCAGGTGGTAGCACATTTGGGTGGAGTGCCCTGGGCGTCTAAAACGATCTCCACGATTATGCCTTACGCCCATACCTCTCGAGCAGCGCCTTACCTGAAGAGCCCCAGGAAGTGACACGATCGCCAACCAAGACATATGAAGATGTATGGAGACACGAAGATGAATAACGAACACATTCGAATCAATACCCGCTGGATTAAGATGTGAGGTGCCGCGGGCGTGGCACACAGTAAACGCACGCACGTTAAAACTAATACTGTGCAAATGAGTGGCAAATCGATTGGCTCATTGAAACAATGTGCCTAGCTCGACTCCGACTCGATTTCGCCACTCACGAGCGATGCGCAGTCGGCGCAAAGCAGCAACAGCGCCACCAACAACAAGATAATACACAAGCATCGGTTTGCAAATCCTCCTAACCCTCGCCCTAGCATGTCACCAGCCTTTACTCGCTCGTTGCTCTCCGATTGCTCCTCTCCTCTGCCCTGCGGCATTAGCCATACCGTAACCACCGGCTACCAACTAAGTGCCTTCCGAGGCCATGGCAAGTTCAGCCTGGCTGAGCAGGCGCGGCAAGCCTTTCCAGCTACAAGATCGAGGAGGCTGCCAGAGGGCCGGGCAGCGTGACACACAAGCAGCGTCGAATGACACATACGAATGGAGAAAACAGACGGTCAGACAGTACAGATCCCTGGACCCCCACCCCCAGGTACAAATTCCAGCCCAGAGACCGACCAAAAACGCAATGTCGCACCGTTGCCCTCTGTGGCTTTCGATCTTGACAGAGCCTGCAGCGACTTTCGCACTCTGCAGCTTCGCAGCACAATAGGCACATACATACGGAAATTGGTGGCGCGCCCCGGGGGGAAGCGAGAAGGGGCGGGCCTTCTCGGGAGGCTCGGAAGTCCCGGCCTCCTGAGGAGAAGAAGCTCTGCTGGGCCACCCCCGAGGACGAACAGAACAACTCCTCGGAGGGCGCGAGGGCCTCGGGGGCACAGCCTTCCTCGACCGTGCGGATGGCCCTCGGGTGCCACCCAGAGGAGGAGGAGGAGGAGGAGGAGGAGGAGGAGGAGGAGGAGGAGGAGGAGGGGGAGGAGGAGGAGGAGGAGGAGGAGCTTCTCCGCGGGCCCCCGCGGCCCTCGCGGGGGGGGGCAAGGGAAGCTCTCCTCGGGGCACCTGCTGGCCGGGAGACCTCCCTCGAACTATCGAGGCGCCCAGGGGCACACACACGCACACACACACACACACACAGAAGCAGACACCAAAATCCTAGGATCCCCCCCAGGTGCGCATATGCTCTGGACTTGCGTCGTCCTCCCCGCTTCCCATATCTTCCCATCTCTTGCTGGGGGTCGACGACTATGTGTGCCTGTGTGCTTTTCCCCTCGGAAATAGACTACCAACTGCTTATATTGCCGCCCCGATGCGCAGCAAACGGAACCCGGAGCGTGTCGACGCGGAGCTCTCGTAGCCTCAGGTCGGCATGTCCCCCCTACATGAAGGGGCCCTGGGACACACAAATAAATAGACACACATAACAGAATTCCCCATGTTTCCACAGTTTCTGGGTTTTCGTCTGCCCCCTCACTTCCCATAGTTTCCCATATTTTCTGGGGAATCGGCGATGAATTGTGCCTGTGTGTTTCTTATCCCTCCTGACTACAGGCGGATTTTGAAAGAAAAATCAACACTAAATAAAGAAGGAACAAACATAGACAGAAATAGTCCAAGCATCGTCCCAGACTACTTTTTGGACTATTTTTGAGCACTCCCCCCGTAGAGGGACATGCCCGCCTTAAACGTACACTGGAGACGTTCGTCTGGCACGACACGTTCGCCAAAGCGTGGGCCAGCACGTCCCCCGAGCCAGCGCGCACCATGCTCTCAAAGCGGACGCCATTGAGCACAGCACGTGCTGCGCTGCAACGTAGGCGTACCAGGGCAGGAAAGACCAACTGCAAGCGTGGAGGGGGGTTGGCCGCCCGAAGGGTCATGCTGCTGCCATCGTACTCAAGGACCACATCCCAGAAACCATCTCGAGCACACCAAAAATATCGAAACAGTGTCGACCGAGTATCGCCTCTCAGGGCCCGGCACGTGAAAACCCTCCAGTTCCGGTACTTTCTTGGTGGTCGGAATTCTTTCTGGTAGTCCAGGCTGAAATAGGTTGGTGCATCATACCTCAAGAGGCAGAAAGTTCGTCTTCGCACGTCACGGCGTTCGAAATAGGAAAAAGGCTATATAATCTGGTTGGCGGCGCGGACACGAGGGTGTTGGGAGGAGGGAGGCTTCTTAGAAAGGGGCCGCTTCTCAGAAGGCGCCGGCCCTATGCCTATAGAGAAGGCCAGCACCTCCCAAGAAGCGGGGGTGTTTCTGAGAAGCCTTTCCCCCGCTGAGACGCCCGAATTGTCCGGGATGACTGCGGCCCGGATCGGGGGAAAAACTCTGGCTTGGGCCCCGAGGCACGGATCTGTAAACACCCTCGGGAATGTTAGACGCCCCAAGTATCCGGGATAATTGCGGTCCAGGGTACCTCTTGGTTGGGCCCCCGAGGCGCGAATCTGTAGTATTAGGTCGGGCATGTCCCCCTACATGCGGATTTTGGTCAAAATGATATATATATATATATAATGATAATAATAAGAATCATAACATTAATACTACTAATGGTATAATGATAACAATAACAAAAACAATAAAAATAACAGTATTAACAATAATACTAAGAATAATAATATTAATGGCAACAAACATGATAATAATAGTAATGGTAAGAATAGTAATAGTAATAGCAATAATAATACGAGCAACAATAGCAATGATAATAATGACAAAAACTCAAACAAATACACCCATAAAGTAAGAAATACTTTGAGATTTTAAAAAAAAAAAAAAAAAAAAAAAAAAAAAAAAAAAAAAAAATGACTACTGTATTTCTGACTCCTGCAGAGGGACATGCCCGACTTAACTGCGGTTGCCCCTGACCGCCCCCGCGCGCTGATGCTTCGGGGTT